TTTTTTCTCCAGGAGTTTCTGATTATCTTGCCTTAGGGATTTCAAAAGCTTGAATAAATTACAAATATCTGGTCCTAAGAGGGCTACAGCAAGTCCTAGGACTATTAAACTGTCAGTTTTGCTGTTTAATTAAATTTATGCCTGGCTGTAACTTCACTTAATACAATAGGTCCATATAAAGTGAGTTTTGATCAATTAGGTAAGGGTTACAAAAAAAAATACTAGACTCTAAATGAAATTTGGGTTTAAAGGAAGAAAACTTGGATAATTTTATACTTCATCACAATGGAGTAATCAGCTATGGTCCCTGAGCACAAAAGAATATTAAGTATTTACTGCAGAGATCAATGTAATTTTGAAACATACAAAGCTCCTCTTGTAGATTCTTGAGACCCTTGAATACTAGGGAAGTTTTCGACTTTGGAATTCTTAAATCAGCTGGGGTCTAGAGAATGCCTAGACCTTTCCACATTATCACAACGCTTCAACCCTACTTTCTGTCACCAGACACAGTTAGCATATTAGAGTAAATACATTATAACCCTCAACCACACTCCTGTGAACTACTTCAAGGAGCTCCAAATTTCCAAATCACCCTCAATTCTCCAATGTCCATTCCTCCAGGGAAAGAGAATTGCTTTCTGAAAAGCCATCCTCTTAACTCCCATAGCATGCTCAGTGTGCCCTCTGTTCCCCAGGCAATCAATAGCTAAGTAGTTTCTGCTTTCTTACATTTTCCTCTAACCATCATTTGGCTGATGGAATTCTTCTGAATTCCCACTTTTCATGAAATGCTCTCGAGTGATGACTGTCTCGAACATCAATAATAAATGAACATGAGCTGTCGAATTTTTTTGCTCCTCATTGTGACCCAGGGCCATTTTATCTCCTTCAAATATTTATAGGTTTGAATATTCATTATTGATTCATACTTCCTCTGCCTCTTAGTGTTGCTGTCATATACTCTCTGGTGACATACATTCCATTCCAGTATATGCTTTTTTAATTTGTGACTTAGTATAAATTCAATCAATCAGTCTCCTAAAATAACTTTTATAAATTACAATACACATAGGCAATTGTTCCAGTCCCCTGGCTTCTGTGTTCTTTGGTCTGGATTATCCAAGATGCTTTGAATCATTATGTCCTCTCAGAACATTATTTTGATGATCTTAAATAACCATTAAGCCACTATATCTACTATTCCAATTTATTATTTATAAATTTCAACAGTTTGTTTATCTAGATATATTTATTATTTGTTTATTATTATTATTATTTGTTATTATTTATTATTTGTTTGTGTGTGTGTGTGTGTGTGTGTGTGTGTGTGTGTGTGTATTTGCGCGCTATGTCCTTGCAGGTATCTGTGAAGACCAAAAAATTACAGGTACAAGTTTGATACAGAGGCTGGAAAGTGATCTCAAGTCCTTTAGAAGAGCATAAATCACTTATCCACTGAGTCATTTCTCCAGTCCTCAACGATTTCTTGATCCAGATTTTTAACAACTGATCCTGTCGCAAGTCTATTGTCCTTTCTTTCCCTCTTCACTATAATTCCTCTCTCTTCTCTCTTTCCTTATTCCTTCCTCTTGTTTTTATTCTTCATTCTCCTACTATTTCTTTTTCTGTATCTATCTACACTCTTGTACATTAACATAATCAGAAAAACATAGCTTTATACTGAGTGATTTGTTTACGTTAGTGATCATTAACTGTGAGTAGTCATCATTGACTGACATGTTATAACACTTTCTCTTCTCCCTCTTAACATCTACATTTATTTTTCTGTCACTGCTAAGAACTTCGCTGTTCATCTTAATATTAAATATAAAGCAATCAGAAGAAAGTATTCTCTCCATCACATCTGTCTCCTTAGCTAGCACTGTGGTCGTATCTTCTCTATTCTCAGAACAGAAGACTGATGTGCTCCTTACTAAGGTCGATATCTATGACTGATCACCACCCTCTTATTAACTACTAAAGGAAACAGCACGGGAACATGTATTTACACATACAAACATGTCCAAGGGATGTCTTCTTTTGTTTGAGAATGATCTCATGTTGTCCATGCTTGTAAGTACCTGAGGAAGACCTTGAACTCCTATTTCTCCTGCCTCAACCTTGAAGTTCTAGGATTACACACATGTGTCACTGGATGCAGGCAAAGCAAGACTTTAAATGAAAGCTGTAGTATCAGGTATCAGATCTGAATGAGTCAACAACAAGAAATATATTCTATGTAGAATACAGTGAATTTGAAGGTGTTTTATTCATTCACTTGATTTTAGTTATCTTTGATGTTAAATGTGTTGTTTACTAATATGCCCACAAGTCAATTATTTATTAATTGATACTTTACTGATCCATTTCTCTATGCCAGTTCATTCACTATGATCCTAATCCAATTCTGTGGCTAAAACATTGATTGAAACAGACACATTAAAGTGTTATGTAGGTCAATAAATGCTATGGGGAAAATATAAGGGATGTGATAAGACATATTAAAAAAGGAAGGGCTATAGTTTTATAAAAGGTATGATCAGGCAAAACCTTTCTATAGAAAAATGAAATCAATTAAATATCAATAGTGTGCTCATTTTTACTCAATAAATATTATAGATCAATTCCTATGTCAAGGAATATATACAAATTCAGAATAATTCAATACAAGTGCTTGAACCCTTGGTTTCATTTTAACATCTATTCCTGGCTATGCTAAGTTTCAAGTTATAACGTTTCAGAAATAAAAATGATCAGGCTTGTCATTAACTGGGCCTAGTTGATCTCTTCTTTCCCCACTTTAACATCATTGGTTTCCTCACAGGCAACTAAGGAGTAGGAGTTACTTTCGCTGTTTTACAAATGATTGGGCAGCCTTGGAAATACGGCTAGTCACAGTTATGAAATGAGTAAGCAGCAAAATCAGGACTCAGTAAAGAAACTATGACTCAGTGGCCAAACTTGTCTTACCACGCACACAGCTGTCTCCCTGAGTATGAGAACTGAGAATGTTGCCAGAATGAGCCCTAGAAGTCTTATACTGAATGAGCAGGCAGTGGAGTTGTGTGCTGAAAAGCCGTCTGCTAATGTCAGCAGAGCATGGCCTTGTTAACTGAGGGAACGCTAAGAAAGAACGTTATGTTTAAGTACTTATGGAGGAGCAGCCCGCAATCATTTTCTATCTTTAGTTTTAGAAATTGAAGGACAGATCAATAGACACAGTGGGCAACTTGTGTCAGGTCTTATACTACACAGAAAAATACCCAATAAACTAATAAACTGTTTTTGAATCTCTGAACAATGTATCATCTAATCCAGTCTGGCTAATGAAATTGTCAGTAATTGATCTTTGGTTGAGATTCTCAGCAGAAACTAGCCTTACCTAGAAGGCCATATATGCTTGGAACTGGATTTCAGTAAACCATTTTTGGAGACGTATATGTATCCATGTCTGTCTGTCTGTCTATCTATCTATCTATCTATAATTTATCTAAGCTATTCACATACAGCTTCATGTGAATCAAAGGATTCTGGCCACAACCAAATAAACTGAAATATAACTGAGGAATTCAATTAATGTATATATTTCAGTTTGGGGTTTATTTCTAGATGTGTTGATAATGAGTATTTAAACAGAACTTGTCCTTGTCATTCCTTCTAATCAGATGGCTATGATTGTAGGAAGGCCACGATAATAAACATTTGAGGTCTCAGCTAACATCTTCAGGAAAGGGCCAGGACAGCTTTGACACCCAGGGCAACCAAAGGAGAGAGTGGGACCACAAGAGTTTTGAAACACTTCTGCCTGTCATCAGCTATATCATTACTACCGTGGAGTCAGAAAGGGGTAATGATGTTCATGTACACACCTAGGAGAATGTCTAGGAATACGATACACCCTATGCTGTTTGTTCATACTCAGTTCCCTGAGTTCAGACAGAGATTATTCCCATCCTCAGTAGATCCTTTTCCTAGCAACTTGATAGTTTGCGGGTGCAGAAATTTAAAACTATAGAATTACCTCATTCTTTCCTGCATCCACTTAACTGAGCAGATTCCATACATTTGACTAAAACCTTCAGCTCATGCATTTTAGCTGAAGTTTCACTTACCCCTTCAGCAGTTGGAAGTCTATTTGTACAATAGAAACTAAGTGTAAACTTCAGGTATATTAAGCAGGACAGACTGATACCAGTCTCCAAATATTGAAATGAAGACTATTCCACTTTTATATTTCTTCCTTTGATATGACATAGGAAGGAGGCAAAAGGAACCATGACAACTTGTTATTAACTCAAGTTTCTAAGTATGACCCAGACATTCTAGAAATCACCTAGATCCTAACTTGAGAGTAAAAGCAAATAGAAAAAAGGGTGGAAACTGCTTGATCAAGAAGGTTCCTGAGTCATTGTAACACAGGCCCCAGTGATTTCCTAAAGTCTCGAAAATCAGCAAGAACCACATGTTCTCAAACACCCCAATAAACGTTTACTGACTTTTTGTATGGGTGACTTTCCATAATACCAATTTCAGGCACTCACGTAAGTCCTTCACTACAGACCCCTAGGAATTTTTCACATCCAGGTTTAAGGTCACAAAGGGCCGCTGCAGAGAAGGACTGGAGGATTTGTTAATGAGGTGGAATAATTTTGGACGAGCATACAGAAGCAGGTGTGGTGCATGACTCACTCATGTTTTCTTACCTGCAAAGAGGTAGCTAGCACAGTTCAAGAGTTCCTAATACACCAGAGGATACTACCAATCTGTCTCCCACTTCAAGAAACAAACAATCCTCTTTTGCTGTTGCTACTGCAGCAGAGAAGGAGCCTATCTCAAAATCTGATGAAGCAACCTATGAAAACTAGAGGGTTGGGTTTTTTTTCAGACCTGAGTGAAGTGATATCCTGTTGCTTACAGCTGAGAGGCAGGTCAGTCAGGTTCTTGGTTGCTTTATTACACAAGCAGGATACTACCAGCCAGTCAGCCGGCCCCACCTAATGTTTCTCTCTCATCTGCCTGTGTCCTGTTCAGTGCCACACTGTCACCCTTAACCCACCTGCTCTTTCACACGCTGAGGACTCATTCCACCCAGACCAACTTGATATTTTATTTCCCGTCTGTAAACACCTGCTACTTCTGAAGGTAAGTGTGAGCCTCTTGGGATTCCTTTTATCCTGCGGTCTCTCTTTCTGTAACTTTCTCTTTTTCTCTCCTCTCTCTCTCTCTCTCTCTCTCTATCTCTCTCTCTCTGTCTCTCTCTCCCTCCCTCCCTCCCTCCCTCCCTCCCTTTCTTTTATCCTAAAGAATCACAGCCTCAATCTTTGACAGAACAATCAAGCAAATAGTTTCAGAGACTCTGGTATAAACAGGCCATTGTTTCGCTAGCTAATTAACTTCTCCGTAGACAATTGCACTGTTACATGAGTTAATTTTAGGAAGGATTGCCAAAGTCGCTAACTTACTAAACTAGTGCAAGAATTCAATGAAAATATTATTTTAAATGTGTGTCTCCAATACAGGTTTTGTCAAGTCTCAGCAAGCTTTCAAAGTGTTTAAAGTAGAGCTGGCAGAAGGAACACAAATTGAAAAGCTTAAAAGTATGCATCTAGGTTTAAAGTTTATTTTTAAGTATAATACTTTTTAAATTTTTTTGGAAAAATTACTTTTAGGTGCCTTGAATTACAAGCTTCTATTCATCTTTTTCAACAGTGTTCTCAACTAAAGAGTTGAAAACGGTACATTTCGTTATGTCATCTAGCATGCTAAGTACACGTGTATGGCATTCCCAGAGATTTCAGAAGGCTAAGTCACTCATAGGAGACCTCCTGTGGAATGGGACTTAGGTAGGGTTTGAAAAAGTTATTTTCAGCTTGTGGTCCTTTGAGCCCCCCTTTTAAAACGATGATTTTCTGTTGACCTACTTTCTCTTTGATCCATAAAAGCTGTTTCAAAGACAGTGAAATGTGATAGAGGTCTAAGCTCTCATGCTTGGGAATTTGGATTCAGAACATATTTTTGGAGACATGTTCTTTTTAAGCTTTGTAGTCATTCATCTATTTTTTCACAGTCATGAAATTCATGACTGGACTCCCAAGTTAGCAGGCAAGAGTCATTATCTTATTTTTTATATGTATATCTAAGTCTTTTAATAGAGTGACAGCAAAATCTTGGAGAATTTCTTTCAAGAAAAAAATTATCCATTCATTCATTCTTCTTTCTCAACTAAAAGTGAAACAATAATTATAATGAATGCTCTCACGTACAAGTAGAATTTTTGAATTACCATGCTTCTAAACCTTTATACAGTAAGAGTTTTAGAACATAATTTCTTACTAATGTGGCTTTAGAGAACAGACTTAATACTAGCCAAAATTGCAAAGGTAACTTACAACAACATCCAAGTATTCAAGTTCTAACTGGAATATTAGCTACATGGTTGACTGAATTTTTTTATAACAAAATGAAACATTTTGGGAAGTTAAGATCTGTGACGAGAAACAATGGAAAACAGTAGGGCAAAGTGGGAAGGTCTGTACCCCTCAGGTATTCACCATAAGGGCACAACATTGTATGGTATCTTCAGAGTACCTTGAGTACCTGAACTATGCTATTATTTAAAACTCTTCTGGTTGAGTTGAGAATAAATTCCATACTTTCTCTTGCACTCATTTACAGCCAGACACAGCCAGGGTACTTCCTTATTCTTAAAGCTTGGCATAAAAAGTATGACTCAGGTTTAAAGGGAAGGTTTGGCAGAATAATGGCATTATACAATTAAGAGCTATTCAAATTAAGCAGAGAAGGAGAGTTTGCCTCCATGGATATGTTTGTCTCCTCTCCAGGTATTTCCAACCTCTCCATGGAGATGTAGCCATAGGAAGTCACCTTTCAGTGTAAACACCAAAGAAAGGGAATAAGACAGGCTTTGTTCTCCATGGGAAATAATGTTTAAACATTGAAATTACATTGTAAGTGTTGTTAAATACAAAGAGCAGTAAAAATTCAATTTCTAGGCATTTAAAATGTATACTCAGGGCACAGAGATTGCCTCAAAATCCTTTTCTCTTTCTGCTCCACATATGACAATTCTAACCTGAGTTTTTAAAGTTTATGATAATTACACATATGTTTCTGATACGTACACCTCTTAAATTTCTGTAAATATTAGCATCTCAGTATTACTCCCACCCAGATGCAACAAAAGACAAAAAAAAAAAAGCACTGGGGGAATATGCAACTTAGTTATCCTGCATTTTTTCTCTCTCTGAACATTTCATCCTTCAATTAATCACTGTCTTCCCACTCCATAGTACATCTGGCTGGTGGATAAACTTAGGCAAACTCAAGCACGCCATTTACAACCCAGCATACTTAATTTCATTTTAATATATTATATGGATATTTCCCATCATTTAAATGTGTGGAACTTATAGGTGGGAAGAAGTTCAAAGGAAAAATGAAAGGGAAAAAATGAAAATTTGATCCACTGTCCTCTGTAGGCTTTACATTGTCCTGATCTTTAGCGCTTACTGTTCACAGTGTACACTGTTTAATTCAGCTGGGTCCAACTTAACCTGAGTCACATTTTCCTTGCTTCTGCAAACTGTCAGAGCTAGCATCCTGCATACTGGATGATTAGATTTTGGGCTTCTTCTATCATTTTGAAATGAGACACACCGAAAATATGTTATGTGGTTACCCTAGAAGCCAGGGAAGAGAGGCAAATTTATCTCCTGACACAAATATCAGACTCACAGGCCTAATTCAGTCTTTGCAATGCCAAGGCTACAGCCAGATTCATTTCTCATTAACATTACCTTGTATTCAGATGTATTATCTGTTTCTCTCTTCCCTCATTTTAAAAAACTTTTTCTCAGGAGGTAAGTCATAGGTAGAAACAGTTCTTTGGCTTATTTGGGGGTATTGATACCCAAGGTTTTCAGGTTACACTCAAAAGTGAGGTGAAGGAATGAGAGATGCCCAGGGTGGTTCAATGTTACAGGCAAGGTGAACCTGGCACAATAAAGCTCACTTTGTTGGCAGGTGATATGAGGATTCTCGTTACAGGAAGGGAGTAAAAGCTCCAGGCTATGTTGCTCACATAAAACTGAAAGCAAACTAGAACTACTAAGGACCCTTACCCTGCCTCTGGTGACCATATTTTTAGGAGACGAAATGAGGAAAAGAACTAAATACAGAAAATGTAAACCAAGTGGTGTAATAATGATAAAAAGAGTCGCCAAATACAGTGCCTAACGTAGAGCACAGGCGGCAGATGAAAAGAAAGATAACTATGTGTGCTGTGATCTGTACAGATTTCGCTGGGTAAAAATAGCTCTGAAATGTAGATGTAGCTACACTAAGCTAAGCTGCATTTTAAATGTACCTACTACACAAGGCATTCATTGAATGGAATACTGACTGGCTATAAGTCTAGGGAAAATGCACTGAGGTTTTATTCATGGGGATCAGACAAGAAGCCACACATAAAGTTGTTGGATTTACTTTTGTGTTAAGATAAAAGTATACTCATCATGTTTGAGAAGCACTTAAGCTAGGTGGACCTGTGTTTGCAGCATTTTTAGAATGGCATAAACCTAATTTAGAAGCTGTGTTTACATGATGGTGGGAAGGTCTACAAAGACAGATTGTATTAAGTTATACATTTCTTTGTAATACTCTACAAAGTATGGTTGACCCTTCATATCATGGGCTGTGTGTCCATGCAGTTAACCAAGGGCAAATTGAACAGTCCAGAAGAAGAAAGGCTTACATTGAACATGGGCAGATGTTTTCATGTTATTCTTTCTTAAACTTGCTAGCAATTCCACTATTCTTCTAGCATTTACATTATGTCAGGTAGTCTAAGTATTTTAGAAGCATTTGAAGTATATAGGGGGATGGCACTAGGTAATACGTCGGCACTGGAGCCACACTACATAAAAGACTTTACCAGCCGAGGATTTTCATGCTCTTGGGAGACGCTGAATCCAGTTCCCTCCAGTTATTGAGCAACAGCCTCACACATTAACTCCTGGATGCCAAGATTTAATCGATCCCTAAATTTGATTCACTAGTCTGAGTCCTTGAACACTTTGTTGACACTCTGTGTTCCTCCACTTACATTTAGTTATAAATTATTTACAGTTCCAAATCTTGTTCTGTAAGATTGTTTGTCAGAATTCAACGGGAAAATGTATAAAGTTTCTGATATAGCAAGTGTATAATTAATAACACAATTTTCTGATTATGCAAGCAATTTTAGGACTTAAACCACTCATATTGTGGAAATAAAATATAAGGAAATGGAATTACCACAAACATAAATACTTCTGTGATTCCTGTCTGGAAACAGTTTGAGGAGCATACAAGAACCACTTAAGTGAGCAGAGAAAAATGCAGAGCTCAATAATAATATAAAAAAGTATCCTTTTCCCACATGTATACTTCTGCAGTCTCTTGTTTTTAACTTAACAGAGTTGTGCCTGTTTTGAACTTTTTTTCTGTGGGATTACACAATATGACTGGATTTTTAGGTTTTGCATTATGTTGATAATAATCATCCATATTGTTGCATAAAACCATAAGATGCTAATTTTCACCATATGAATAGGCTAGGTTTTGTTGTTCAGTGTGTTACTGGTGAATTTTAGCAAGACACTCATAAGTAATGTGCCTGTGAATATTCCCGTGTGCCTACCTGCTTTATATTTTAAGAAGACTTTCCTTAAGTGATTAGAATATGGATGGAAGATGTTAAATCCCAGTGAAACCTTTGGAATGAAAAACCTCAGGCTGATTCCTAAGCTTTTGATGAAGATATCAGAATATAATACAGACGTCTTTAACTTGCAACAGATCATTGAGTGTAAGGTGAGTGTAGTGAAGATATCCAAATTATAATCAGAGAGTTATGGAGGGTTTCTAAACTCTTCTTAAAAAAAATCAGCAATGTTCCAATAAAAATTTAGTGAAAGTCTTTGAGAAACTGTAGGCAGGGGGCTGAAGAGATGTCTCAGTTAAGATCAGTAGCTGTGCTTCCAGGAAACCTAGGCTTGATTCTCAGAATCCACACGGCAACTCACAACTTTCTGTAACTCCAGTCCCATCATACCTGATGCCTTCTTTTGAAATCCATGGGTTCCTGACATACATGTGGTACACATACATGCGGTACACATACACGCATTCAGGCAAACCCTCATGCATACAAAATAAAAATAAATCTTAAAAACTTGAGGGCAACATAGAACCTGAAATTTAACAATTGGATTTTCTCTTTTTTTTCTCAGTCAAGAAGGAATCTTTTAGTGGAAAACGAAACCCAGTTTGAAGAGCACCAAATCAGTTCTCAGACTTTACTGTGTGAAGAGATTGCTTGACATGGAGTCTCATATATTCTATGCTGGCCTCAACCTATGTTGCTGAGAATTACCTTATGCCTCTGGTCCTGTATTTCCTCCACACTCCTCCCTACTTCTGGGAATACAGGCACGCCCCAGCTTTCCAGGCTTGTGCAATGCGCAGACAGGATGTAAACTTTTTGCATGCTAGGCAAGCACTTTAGCAACTAAGAAATATTCTCAGCTCCAGGCTTTAAATATGAAAATTGACTTAAACATATTTCATTTAGTATTTTGCTTTCCTATTCTGTTTATTAGTTTCTATTATCAGTCACTCTGAGCCTCAGTTTCCTCATCTATATAAAGAACATAACACAAGCTATTCTCATCTTAGGATATCATTGTATAAAGTGTAACGATATTGCAAACTTTGTAATCCCTAAGACTCTATAGTAGTGGTTGTCAACCTTTCTAATGCTGAGATCCTTTATTGCAATTCCTCATATTGTAGGGACCACCAATCATGCATTATTTTTATTGCTACTTCATAACTGTAATTTAGCTGCTGTTATGAATTATAATGCAAATATCTGTGTTTTGGGATGGTCTTAGGCCACACTTAAGAAAGGGTCATTTGACCCCCAAAGGGTTCATGTCCCAAAGGTTAAAACTATGGAGATAGTGTGATATTTGGTTGATGCCAAATAGAAGTTGATGTATTAAGTGCTGGCTTTAGGCCAGATACTGTTCTGAGTGTTTCTTCCTATACTATTCGATTTAGTTTTAATACAATATTGTAAAACAGCTCAGTTACTTTGAAAATAATATATTAACAGTTTATAATGATGATAATTCTATAGGTTATTTATGACAGAAACCAGAATTTTCATATATACCTGCTTCAATTTTTCCCTTATCACCTACTTCAGTCAGAAGGAACTTCTGTATTAAGCAAAATTGCGTGCTTGGGTTAGTGAGGTCACCTTTATGGTTTTATTACCTAACAGTTCCATAAGCTAACTAGGTCAAAAACCTAGGTATTTTACATTAAATACCCTCAACCATATCCTTCATTTATTATAACATAGCTGTTATTTCCACTTCAATTAAATAAGTAAAATGAATAAAATGTATTCGAGGGAGCTTTGCAAAGACTTCCTTCATATATCTGAGAATGGGACATTTAGTGTCTGATAAGTGGAGTAATTTTTACACTTAGCATTCAGAATAATACCTTCACAAAGAACATGCTTTTTGTAGTTTGAAGAAATCAGACAGCTCTATATGTCCTATATTTACAACATAAAAGAAGTTAAATAAAAACATATTTAACAGCCTGTGTGTATGCACATGTGTTTAAAAATATATTTTCAAGTTGTTTCAAGCTCAGTGATCTTTGAAATATCAGTATCTAGCTTGGCAAGGCAGGGCTGGTGATTTTGCTTAGTGGTAGAGTGCCTGCCTAGCAATCACAAGGCCCTGGGTTCGGTCTTCAGCTCTAGAAAAACAAACAAAAACAAAAATAAAAACCAAAGTAACTAATGTGACAAGGCTGTTTCTTGGCATTTTCCTAAAATGAAGTATTAAGAATAGAATTTAGTGACATTGGATTAAATGCACAATCTTTACAAAACAAATTATTTACAGTGAGAAATATATCATCATCTTAACATTATGTCTCAGGATATTTTCCTTTAGTAATTAAGATCCATAAAAACTCAGAATGCTCTTAATATTTCAAATGACTGTTGCTTTTTTCCAGATTCCTCATACTAAAACCAGTACCAAAGAAGACTGCAATGTTGACCTTAGCCAAAATTATGTTGGTTTCAAGTCTATTCATTTGGTTACCATTTGCAAGGCCCGAGAAAAAAATTCCAGGAAGAAATGTAACTCAGTACACCACAGGAGATTTGAAAACAGCAGGAAACAAAAACATTCCTTTGGAAAGAAGGACAAATGTGACTTCAGAGAATGACAATAGTAATACCTCCAAACCCATGGTGACAGATGCCTCTGGTTTGGATTTACCCACAATCTATGAAACAATACATTCTACCAGTAACTGGCCAACAGCTAGCTCTACTGAGAGCCCAAGACCCACCTCCACATATTCCATCCCACCCTTGACTCATAGCTTCATTTCCAAGTTGCCTTTGAACTCGTCCACAGCAGATTTCTCAGCACACACCGGTCCTATGCATTCTGCATCACCAGAAAATTTTACCTGGTCTCTGGAAAATGACACCTTGAACATTCCTGACAATATTTCCAGTACAGACAGCATTCTCCCTCTGCCTCCGATGACTACACCTGTGACCCCTTTGACAGATGAACCTACTGGATGGCCTGCCACAGACAATGACAACTTTGCTGGTTTTACCCTGTATCAAGAAAAAACAACTTTACAGCCTACCTTAAAATTCACCAATAATTCAAAAATTTATTCCAATACATCAGACTCCCCAAAAGGTATATATAAGTGGATTTAATTTTTTTTGGCTCTGTAGGACTGAATTTCTAGGGAAATCATATAACTTAAATCCAAGGAGCGCAATTCTAGGGAAATGCAGGCAATTACATTGGTATGGGTCATTCTTATCTGTGAGGAGCAAACAGTAGAAGTTGTGTAGTGGTTTTAGGACTTAATTGAGCACATGCTACTTATTAGCAGGAGGGAGCATGAAGAGGGAGTGAAGCAAAGGTTAAGATGGTAAGTGAAAATGCTGCCTGAGGCGTCGGGTAACAATTTCCATGGTCTCTTTTAGAGACAACCCGGACTTTCAGGAGTAGTCTATATATAAATGAGCTTTAAAATATATGCATGTGACCTCTGAAACACTGAGCAAAATGACAACTTTTGTCGATTATCTGATCCCACACGGTTATTATAGAACAAAACAGAGCAGTGACATTCCAAGAAATAGCTAGACAAACTTACCACAAGGAAAATATCCTTAAGGTTTAGTTTAATATCTAATGAGAATTATATAAATATATTTTTTGAATCACAACACTATGATGTAAACATTTTTATAATTTCACTACAGACTGTGTCAAATTAAAAACATGAGAAAGCTACCAGAAGCTGTATGATGTCAGAGGCTACGTAATGTCAGAGGCTGTATGATGTGCTCATTAAGCTTAATTTCCTCCAGAGCAAGCTGTAAGTTCGTAGGTTTAAAGTGATCTTATTGTTTTTTTTAGTAAAGGCTTTTTTTTTAATGAACTCAGTGCCTTCTGATGGACTTTCTTAGAGGCTAAATTAATTATAATCTATAAATGCATAATCGGATTGGCATTTGTAAGTTATTGTCAATATATGGAAACTATTTTAATGCCTAAAATCTAGGTTTTAAAAACAATATGAAAACAATATAATGTGTGTACATATGCTTTTATTCTTTATATTTACAGTTTTTAACTTTATAATTTTACACATCCCATCATTCTTGGACACTCTTACAACAATTAGAGAGAATACTTAAAATGTTTCTTTGTCTGTCTAAACTCAGTAAATATATGTTGTAAATGCCGATCACTGACCCACACCATAGCTCTTTTATCAGAATTGTTAGGTGTGTTTATTTTTATAGTAACACTTTTTGTATTCCAAATGAGTTGATTTTCTTAGGAGTGGAATTAGAGAGTCTAAGAATAGCTTAATCTACCTAATTAAATAACTTCTCAAGACACTTAAAAGTGCATTTAGTATCTAGAGAGCAGCGATACTTTAATGACTTCTTAATTTTCAAGTCAAGTACTCCACAAAAGGTAGAGTAGAGTATCATTTTTGTTCCTTGATCAGTTCATTGATCTGAGCTGAGGTATAAGCAGGCATTGCAAGCATCTTGTTCTTGTCTTTTGTTTGTTTCATTTGCTTGGTTTGTAAGTATCTATTGCTTTTCCTTTTAGTATTTTCTTGGCACTTTGTGGATGTATTATCTGTAACTAACTCACTTATTGTTTGATATATATATATATATATATATATATATGATATATAGATGGTGATTACATGAAGCCAAAGTTCATTTTAATAATAAATTTCCTCATAGATTAAGGGTTTGTAAAAGGTTTAATGAATATAGTATTAATTACTGATACTAGATCTTCTATAAAATTTGGCATTTCAGTACTGTTGGTGATAAAAATATGATGATTATAAATCAAATATTTGGAAGTATCTCAAAGAAATAAAAATGTCGATGTGTAGTTTTATAATGAATTATTTTTTACCACTATACCATAAATACTGAGTACGTGATAAAGTACACATAAAGAGAAGCAGTCACTATTATCTAAATTTTAAGACATACAAAATCTTTTATATATTGACTCTTCGCATCTGTATTTTTGTTTGTTGAATAACTAATTTTCTACTTCTGGACTGTAACTTCTTTTTTTCTTCTAGAGTATAAAAATACAGGAATAGTATTCGGAGGCATTTTAGGGGCAATTCTGGGTGCATCCCTGCTTAGCCTTGTAGGCTACTTATTGTGTGGACAACGGAAGACAGATTCATTTTCCCATCGGCGACTTTATGATGATAGAAATGAACCAGGTAAAAATTATTTTCAGACCATCACCCACACACAGTGGTTTTAGTTAAGTGACAATGCATTACCTAGGAAGGAGTCAGGAAGTTGTTTGACAGAAACAGACAAGATTCATTTGGGGTCATCACTTTCACCAAATAATAATTAATGATAATGATAGCAATAATACTAATATTAGTAATAATAATAATTTGCATTATCTTTGTGTAACATTCAAAAACACTTTGAATTTTTGCTCATTGTATCAAAACTGGTTTAAAATAGAATTTCCAGAATCCAAATATATCACTGAAGACAGTGAGAGGAAATGCTAAAGTTGTGGTACTTAAATTTGCAGGTAAATGGAACTAGAAAGAAATCATCTTGAGTAAAGTATCCCAGACCCCGAAAAACAATTATGATGAGTTCCCTGATCAGCCAATCATAGAAAAATCCTCTTGCAGCATCTAGGGACAAATAAAGAGCCACAGGCCGACACTGCACAGAGAGTGAGACATTTTGGAACACTCAGTCATAAGTGGGATGTCTCTTTCAAATCTTTGCCTCAAGGCTGAGGGAGCTCCATGGAAGAGGAGGGGGAAGGGTTGTAAGAGCCAGAGGGGATAGAGGACTCCTCAAAACAATGTCTTCTATATCTATATCAACATGATCAGAACTCGTGTAAACAGGTAGCATGCACATGGCCTGCATGGGTCTGCACTAGGCCCTGATTTTATGGCTTCCAATTTAGTGTTTTAATGAGATTCCTGAGTGTGAGAACAAGTGGGTCTCTGGTTATTGTGTCTTATCTTAGGGTCTTTACTTCCATTTGTTTGTTTTGTCCAATTCCAATGTGTTAGTCTTTCAAAAAAATTCTTATTATATTTTATTTTATTATTATCCCTTAAAAATAAAGCAAACAGTTCTATTCTAAAATTTATAATAATAATAATAATAATAATAATAATAATGATGATGATGATAATAGCAAAAAAGAGGAGATAGAAATGTGGCCCTGAAACACAGTATTTGAAAGCTTCATATGTACAGAAATAAAGACACCATACCTTAAATCAGAACTTTTCCACTCATATAATGGTTTGTTTTTGGAAAAGCCAACCAGGCTCTATAGATATTTTAAGGGTTGAAGCGCTTGCTGACTAAGGATAAAAACCTGAGTACAGATTCCAAGACCCCATGGAAACTTCTGTTGAGAGAGTCTACAATTTCAGCATTCAAAAGGTACTCTAATTGGCAAGATCTGCATTAACTGAGAGATCATGTCTCCATGTATAAGGCGGAGATACTTTGAGGAAGACTTCTGCCATGGGCTTCAGTATTCATATGTATATATGTACACATGCAAACATGCATAAGTACATACCACACACACAAATAATACACACACACACAAGAAATTAAAGGATAGCAATGATATCTGTAACTAAAATAAGTGTATATGCTGAAAAAGCAGATTTTGATACATATTATTCAAACAAAAGATGAATGAGATCACTGCAGATATCTGGCTCCTCTCTGTTACGCTCTGGGATAAGGTCTGTTTTGCTGCATGTACAAAGATTTCTACCACCAAAACGAGTAGTTACTTGCCTTTGATGAGTCCATTGGAAAAGTTCCATTAAATTCTCACGAGTTCAGTTTATCATTGATATATTATACGTATTCAAAATCAAATCCATTAACTGGAAATTCAGGAGAATTCTGTTGATAGGTTTCTACTAATCCATATGGAAATAGGGGAGTTGTTTCAAGTTAAACAGGAGGATTTTTAAGTTTCCAAATGCAAAGCTTGTCTTGTGTATATAATGTAAAAAATTCATACTGTTAATTTTTACATTCTAACTAGTTGTGACTGATGCCTATAAGGGCAAGTCAGCCATGAGACCTTTTTTGATCTTTTCCATACAGTTTAGGAAACTTCTTTAAAGACCCAGAGTTCCCAGGAGGCTAGTTTGTAAGCAGATGACTTAATAAATAGGCTTAATAAATAAGTATTATTACACATAGAACTAATTAGATCACTAATCTAATTAGTAATTAGTCCCAGTACTTTAAGATGCCCAATACATATCAGCTTTTCTCTAAAAAATATACTCAAGCCCATTAAGGAAAGTGTTTTACTTTGCTAAAAGTGAAACAAAACTCTCCTGAATCATCTATCAGAGTATCTTGAGTGACTACTTGGATCTATCACAACTGAAGGAAACATAATTTCATAGTTTTCCTTCTTCCTTTCACAGGGATGAGTATCAAGACATTAAGATAGTTAGTAAATCATGATGTTTGTTCACTGTCCTTATTTAAAAAATAATTTTTTCACCAAAGATTGAAGCCACAAAATTCAATGTTGCTTAGCCCTCTTTACCTTCCCCCCAGTCCACCCCTCAACCATTCTTCAGAGAGGGTAAGTATAGCACATGGCTTTGGAGCATCTCCAAGGTCCTCCTCACTATAGCTAGACTGAGCAAGGTATCCCTCCAAAGAGAATGGGCTCCAGTTTTTAATTTTGTGCCCAGTTTATAATTCCAGAAATATTATTGTTCTCTTATTAATAGAATTAAACTTGGCATGCAAAAATCTACTTATGTAACATTTCAAAAGTAGTGTCTGAGAAGCCCACACAGAAGATGTATCTGCTCATCACCTAGAACATTTCCCATAGTCTGTAATGTAATCAGGTAGCTGAGCATTCGTCATTTAGACTATTGCCATAAAGCTCTTCTGTTGATTTTTCTATTTCCTTTCAGTCCTGCGATTAGACAATGCACCAGAACCTTACGATGTCAATTTTGGAAATTCTAGTTACTACAACTCAGCTGTGAGTGATTCATCCATGCCAGAAGGCAGAGAGAGTATACAAGATGGCATTCCCATGGATGATATACCTCCACTTCGAACCTCAATGTAAAGCTAGGAGAAGAATGGCTGCAGAAGGCTAGAGTTCATCTCCATCTTGACCTACTAATAAATCCATCTTGCAAAAGGCATTGTGTCATCACTGCTTGGCCATCTGCACAGGGAGAATGGCACAAACAGTAGCTGGGCAGAGGAAACAGTGGATCCATCACCTACAGGCTCTCTCTTCTTACAGTCTTCAGCGGGGCTGAAGCACGTGTTATATAATCATACTTTGTGTTTTGGTTTGTTTCTCTAGGAAACCTTTGTGGAATAAGGTAAAATTAATACACATCACCATGGTAGCACTGACTGGTAACTTAATAATAGCTATTCTTCACACAAAATCTAGGGACCAAAACTACATTTTCTTCAAATATTTTGTGTTTAAAACAGAAATTGAAGTTAACTCTTCACTCCTCTTGTCTGTAATCTAGGACCTAAAACCAAATAAGTATTTTCTTGGGGCATAATTTGAATGGTTATTTAGTGTTTGTTTGTTTATTTCAAAGCCAGAAATATGATATGGTAAAGTTTCTGATACTGAGAAATTAAGGCAATAAGAATGAAAGCCTTGTTAGATTATAATACATTTCACTTTTATACAACAGCACACACACGGTCAGTCCCTTTGGTTGACCAGTTGACAATGAATGCATTCATCTGGGCCAACAGGCAAACTGATTCTAGCCAGGAAAGTGATAGCTTCCCCAAGCGTTCCTAAAGTTCTTAAAGCAATTCCAACTTGCATGAGTACACATCAGGTTTCAGTTAATTAGGCTTCTTAGAGTCTCAATGAGAAACATGAGGATAAGGCTAAAGAATATACTAACTTATAATTACTCTGATTTTAACTTGCTTGCTAAGAATAGAAGTTGTAATATAGTATACACTTTTGTTCAGTCATATGTGAAACAAAATCCATCTTTCTGTATGTATGAAATACATGGCAAAACAAGTAAAATCATCAAGCAAACTCATCACCACTTCTGGTATCAGTAAAAATGTAAGAGACTTAATTTTGTTTTTAAGTGTGTTTTAGTTTGTTTTTGAAGGTCTAAGACTCAGAGATTAGAAGATTAAACAAGAGTTAAATCCCCAAGGAGTGAATGTTTGAATAGGCCAAACAAAGTAAGCACCATCTTTAGAGATTTTATTGCTGAATTAATACATGGTGTGAGTGACACATGTGCACATGTGAGTATGTGTGTGTGCGTGACATGTGCTCATGTAATGTGGGTATTCAGCACAGAAATATTTTTAGTAAGTCAGAGCTGGAAAATGAATAATGAAAGAAAATACTTACCCCATATTGCCATAAAAATAGCAAAGAAGACTGTCCCTCCATTATCAAACAAATATGTTACCTTAATAGAAAAAATAGAAACATTAATCATACAAAAGATTGTACTAAAATAGAAGTTATTGATTGCATTAGGTGCTGTGATTTCTCCCCAGATTCTACCACATCATATAATCTATTAATCTATTCACCTGCAATCTTCACTGGTCTTTCAATAGTGTATGTAATTTCCTAATGGGCAGAGAGATAAAGAAACAACAGATTTCTCTTTTCTCTTCCCCCTCATACCTTTGTACCTCACCTTCATTTTGGCTTTTAAGTGTTTCTAGATCCCCAAAGAAGCCATTTTACACCATAGTCAAATACCTTAATATTGTGAAACGTACAAAGTTAGTGTAAGTTAAAGCATTACAGGTTTCCAGAATAGAGAAGTTACAAAAGACAGAAATCTGGTAGTGAGCAAGCTTCTTCAATTGAATGCTGTCATGGTATGGTTCCTGATCTTCCATGTCCTTCAAAATGTGCCATGGGTCCAGCAGTGATTTATTTCATGTAAATATTGCATAGTAAGTTGTTTTAAGAAGTTTTTTCATAAATCATCAAGCACATTTTTAAACAGTTGTTACCTGATAGAAAGCTTGATAAAGGACATAAAGTAATTTAATGTTATAGAATATAATTGTTAGGATTGTAAGGATTAGTTGATTTTAATAAATTTCAGATTTAATAAAATCTGTTTTACTGATACTTCTTTTAATATGCACAACACGTTGCCCAGAAATTAGTGACGTAATCACTTGGTATGTACATAAATACCCCAGAAACAACAGCAGTCCTCTGGTCTGCTGGGGTTCATGGGGGATATTTTGTGAAGAGTTGAGAACTTCAGACTGTGCTAAGCCCTGTTTGCTGAGGTTTATATGTAAGTTTGTCACAATAAGAGATTCACAATAGTAGCAGAAGGTAGGAAGGAGCAAATACAACAACACACAGTAAATCACATATGAACGTGGACCTGTACAAAAATCTTAATAATACTATGCACACTGTTCTTGTGGAAATGGTGTGAGATGGTATGTCTACATGTTCAGATGAGGTGAGTGAAGGAGACACTGAAGCTGCATGAGGCAACCATGCAAGAGTCACAAGTACTCTGATACTGGGAATACAGATCTCTTAGCCAAGGGCTTCTCTATAGCTAGGAGATGGGTAGGATTTATTAACAGATATGAAAAGAGATGATGCATGTGCCTGGTAGGATAGAATTGAATGGAGTAAAAAACCTATAAATAATATTGGATTTTAATATTTTAATATTTAATTTGAAATTAATATTTCATTTAGTATTTTCAATTTACCACAGTTAAATAAACTCACAGAAAATGAAGCTGATAATAAGGAAGGCTAATGTATAGAGGAAAGTGGGAGCATTATTACCCAAAGAGACTGAGGCAAATTATCAGTTAAATGACATTTTTATAATGGAAGTTGGGATAGAATGGCGTTTCCCTTGTTCAGTCTAAAGTCAAGTGCATTCCTAATGAGGATATTACAGTAATATTAATGTGTATTTCAAATGTAGCTTTAAAAAAAGATGCTTAGCTCAGCAAAAGAGAGCTTGTCTAAAATTCATAGGAGAGTCCTGGGTCTTATCGGAAGCTTAGCACAGAAAAGCAACAACCAAGATAGGCCTTAATGGTTTGTGTATCCTTTGTGGTTCTAAAATCTTATTTTAGTTAAGGCTAGAGGTTTCTAAAAATACTATGTGTCGCTTTTCATTTTAATCATTATGGACAGCAGAGACAAGGATCATAGAAAAATTTTCACACAGAGCTCATAAAATTACACCCAGCAGGGGAATCCAGCCTGCTTTTTTCCAGGACACCCAGCAGAGAGACCTGAGCTGTCTCCGCAGTTGAACAGCTGTCGGTTTCCCCTTTTAAATGGACAAGAACAGCTTCTCGGAGAGCTCCAGAGACTTTACACATGAGGACTTAAAGGTCACCAAGAAATCAGTGTTTCCCCCGTTTCAGAAGCAGCTGTGCTTTCAGATAACTAGAAGTACAAGGCCACAGCTACCACCACCATCACCACCACCACCAAAACAACAAAACATGCTTTGTGGGTGCAATTGTTCACAGTTTATGTGACATTCACTTTTAAAGTGACTTCCGTTATCTTTTAAAAAGCTCCCTAATAAACCTTTTAGGCCTGTTTGAGCTCAAACGTGTACATTACCAGTTTATAAGCGGATTAGTCAATTATTGTGGGTAAATGTAATAGTCATAGAATGTATATTTTAACTGTGGATTATATACATGGAGCAAGAGATAAAACTAAAACGAGAACCAGGGAAGACTTCAAAATGTTCAGGAGTATAATGTCAAAATAATTTTGTTAGATTTACATCTACATTTTACATGTTTACACACGAAATGTATATTGATAATCACAGAGATAAGCAATTAGCCTGTGTCTATAAAGCAGTACTAATTACTTGATGGTACTCACAGAAAAGCCGCTGAGTTAAGATACAGAATACTGAGAGAGGGTGACTGAACACATTGTGCTCAAGATTATCTGAGGTAATTGGAAGGAAAAATATGAGCTTTGACCTTTCTAACAGAAAAGAGCATTTGCTACTTCAAAGAAAACATCAGACGAAACTTTCAAAAAATACTTCAGGGAGCACAACAATGGAGTCTTGCTCTTCTTCAGAATACACATTTTCAATGTCTTGTTTTATTTGAAAACAGCTTGCTTTTATGACTAAAACATGTATGAACAACCGTTTAATTTTAAATTATTGTTGTGCAGAGGGTAATATAAAAAGGGAAGGTTGTACTCACGTAACTACAAATTCTGGTGGTTGATGTCTGGTTTAACCTTGGAAATTGAGCATGGTTGGCATTGTTTAAGGACATTTCCTTCCTATGACATTGGAAACTTGAGTTTGTGTCTCCTCTGCTATGGCTATTGTAATTCCTCTTACACTTCTTAGAAGGTTTGGAACAGCATGATGTTGGGATAGTGGCACACTAACAGAATCTCATCTACAGTAAATGAGCAAGGATTTTTCAAACCTGTAGTTCAGGCTATCATTGCTGGCATGCTCCCAAGACAAGTGGAAATTAGTCTGGAATGAAATTTTTCTTACTTTTTAACTCTCATCTCTTGAGTAGCAGAGATAATGCGTAATGGTCTATATTCAATATACCCAGATGCAACGTACACCAAATTTGGAAACTTGGTTTAGTACTTAACTCCATAATTGTTTTAAAATGTTTCTTAGAATCATAACACCACATGGATCTACTCAACAAGTATATCTCTATGTCTTATCCTTGATTAACTGATTCTAAATTCTCAAATATTGGTTTCTGGAGTCTTCTTTTTAAATAAATGTCCTCTGTAACTTTGATGGATAGTCTGGCAGACTCTTGAAACTTCTTAAAGAAGAAGCCTACTGTGTCTCCTATTTCTGTTGTAGTTTCATAATCAGTATATAGCTTGAGTTATATATAAGTATTGAGTAAATATTTTCTAAATAAATAAAAGTTTAATAATCAAAGGAAAGATTATGAATGAGCTTAGCGCAAAGGATTGAGCTATTTTTATAACCACATGAAACATTGAGTACCTCTCGTTATTTAACCTTCAGAAACAATCATAGCATCACTTGAATTGATAGTGTAGCATTGTGTTTACAAATGCTGCACAAATGCCACTAAGTTATTTAGTCAAATATTTATTATACACATAGGTTTATTTGAAATATGGTGGCATAAGCCTATAATTCAAGCACTTAAGGTGAGGCAGGAGTATTATAAGTTCAAGGCCAACTTTAGCTAAATAATTTCTGTCTCAAAACACAAAAAAAATGATTTTGCTGTCTGAGGCCCAAAGTTTGCAGAGCAACAAGCGGGAAAGTGAGGTATGGTCTCTATAGTTGTTTTATGTATTTTAATTCCTATAGTTTTTATTGCTAAAATCAAAGTGATTAGCTGAAGGAAATGTGCACATATATATGTATGTATAACTTTTGTTATAAAATAAAAGCAATTTATTTAAAAACATATATGCTTTTTAAAAATTAAGGTATGTTAGGGTTTCATTCTTTTTCATGATCACAGGAATTGATGGATTCCATAAGGAAGTAAAGTAGCAACTTACACTTTCTTGTGGCTAGTGATATAAATCTAGATTGCTTAAGATAAAATGAAGGCTCATTGTCCTCCATCAAATATAGAACAATAATTCATGACAGGCTCTGATGGCTGCAAGCATAGGCAAGGCTCCTTTTAGAAATGGATTCCTTACTCAGTATTAATAGCAGTAACTGAATGACTTCTTTAAGAGAAGGCTTCCTGGTTTGCGCTGGTGCCACAAATGGCTCTGACTCTTCCAAGAGGTACGGCTATAGAGCATTTAAATGGGGTCTGTGAACAGTGTATTACAAATTGCTTAATGATGACATAGAACCAATGCATCCCTGGAGCTGATGCACTGAGAATAGCTTGCAGAAGCAGAAGTGGTAAATGTACCTCTGCCACGCTGGACAAGCTGGAGCCAACAGGCAGGACTGCAGAGCTGGTCCTAGCCATGCCTGCTTAGCATTTAAAAGAGAAAGGAGTTCCTAGCCAGAAAATGGTTACAAATACTCAATAAAGACAGATTCAGAAAAAAATAAATCTCTGAACAGGTCACAGAGTGTTTAAAAATGTAAGAAAAAAAAAGAAAAAGAAAAACTTGAGACTCACAAAGAAATATTGTGACTATAATTCTTGCTTGATACCTGTTTTGTTATATGCAATTTTACTATGTTAAAGTTAAAACCTTTTTTAATTTAGACATAAAAAAGGAGCTTATGTGGAACTTCCTTCTGTATGCTGTGAATATTTTATTACTATTGATTAATAAAGAAACTGCTTTGACCTATGGCAGGACAGAATAGAGATAGGCGGGAAAACTAAGCTGAATGCTGGAAGAAATAAGGTGAAGTCAGGAAGCTGCTGTGGAGTTGCCTAAGAAGCAAGGGGTAAAATACTGTGAGACTAGTGATAAGATGTAAGATAATAGATATGGGTTAATTTCAGATGTAAGAAGTAGCTTAGACTGTACCCGAGACATTGACCAAACAGTGTTTTAATTAATATAATATTTTGTGTGATTTTTTTGAGTCTGGGTGGCTGGAAAACTAAAGCGCAGTCTCAGTTTACAAATGAACTGAAACAAACCTCTTTTCTTTGGTGACTTGCCTCAGGGCAACTCTGCAGTAGGTTAAACTGAAATAATACCAAAGTTAACAATAAAGCTATCATATAACTTGACCATTCTATTCTAGATATTAACCCAAGAGAAATAACAATCGTCAGTCAGAAAACTAGAAAATCAGTCCTTTAAGAAGCTATACATGTAATGGAAAATGCCTTAATATATAAACAAATAACAAACATCAATATTGGGAAAATGAAACAGTATTCAGCAGTAATGAGAATGTTCTGTTGATAAATGCCACATGTAAGATGAACTTTGTAACTGTTACAGTGTACAAGAGAAGCCATAAAAAATCATACCACTTAACGCCATATACAGAAAAGTCAAGAAACATGCATATTTATCAGGAATGTCACATTGGGATTGTTGGCCTAAACAGAGGAACTGGGGGAGAGTGTATGTGGATGAGCCAGGGAAGGATGAGAGGGTAGGAGGGCATGCAGGATATTTGGGAGGTGCTCATTATCTTCACTGTGGTGATAGGCTTCCCAGGTACATACGCTTTAACAAAATGTGCTGATTTTTACTTTTAAATGGGTCTAGTCTAGTTTACTACATATTAATTATTCTCTAATGAAACTGTTCTGAAAAGCAAACCTGTACAAACTGGTGTTCTTTACATTCCTATGAAAAATTGTTCACCTAGAAACTTTTAGAATGTGATGACATCTAAATTCTAACCTAAAGATTCTCATTTAACGGCTCTGGGATGAGACTTGCTCTTTAGGAGTTTAAAACTCCTTCGGGTAATCCTGAAAGATAGCAATATGGGACTTTCGGGAACGGCATTTCATTTCCTCTGTGCAATAGAAGTATTGCAACTTAATAAATTCATGAAAGATACAAATTGAATCATTGCCATGGAAGTAATTATCTTCATAAAATGAATCAGACATAATGTCAAGTGGAGGTTAAATCTAAGGTACCAGTTATCAGTTATAACAACACAAGAAGAAAAAGATGTTAAATAAAATATATTCTCTTTTTAATTGCAACAGATTAATTTTTTTCAGTTGTCAGTGACACTAATGACTGTTGAAAATTTTGGAGACAATTTTTGCAGAAAAAAACTATTTACTGGAGAGCTTTTTACTATGTAATTCATAGATAAACTGGAGCTCAGAGTAGAGGTTACACAGGCCCACACTCACCTTGGCGTAGATGCAACTATCATTGAGTCTCTGTAATGAGCAATTCTTGTCACACAGAGGGCACATAAAGACTTCAGTGGCTTTGCAAATTTCTTGGCTTGAAAAATAAAAGGAAAAAAGTGCGAATCACTATCTTAGCCCCTGCAGAACACACTACTGTGAGCAACAATACAGAGAGGAACAAGGAAGAAATTGAAAACTATCAAGATAGAGTTAGATGATGGCTTCCATGTAAGTATTTTATGATATTTGTGACAGAGAGGTTCTTGTTTTATTTATTTAATTTTAGAAAACTCCAACAAATAATAAAACAATAATTTGTCATATATATGTCTACTTGTGTAATATGTCATTTTTAAATAAAGCCCTTGAAACAAGTCAGGAAAGAAGAAGTCAAACTCTCACCATTTGCTGATGATATGACAATTTACATAAGCGACCACAAAAATTCTACCAAAGAACTTCTATAAGTCATAAACACTTTCAGTAATATAGCAGCATACAAGATTAACTAAAAAAAAATCTGTAGCCCTCCTGTACACAGATGTAAAAAGGGCTGAGAAAGAAATCAGAGAAATATCACCCTTTACAATAGCCACAAGTAGCATAAAATATCTTGAGGTAACTCTAACCAAACAAGTGGAAGATTTGTATGACAAGAACTTTAAATCTTTGAAGAAAGAAATTTAAAAAGACACCAGAAAAGAGACTCTCATGCTCTTGAGTAGGAAGAATTAACATAGTAAAAATAGCAATCTTACCAAAAGCAATCAACAGATTCAATGCAATGCCCATGAAAATCCTGGCAAAATTCTTCACAGGCCATGAAAGAATTGTGCTCAACTTCATATGGAAAAGCAAAAAACACAGGATAGCCAAAACAATCAGGTACAATAAAAGAATTTCTGGAGGCAGTACAATTCCTGAATTCAAACTCTAGTACAGTGCTACAGTACTGAAAACAACTTGATATTGGCATAAAAGCAGACAGGAGGATCAATGGAACCAAATCGAAGACCCAGATATTAATCTACACACCTTTGAACACCTGATTTTTGGAAAAGAAGCAAAAAAATATTAAATGGAGAAAAGAAAGCATATTTAACAAATGGTGTTGGCATAACTGGATATCAACATGTAGAAGAATGAAAATAGATCACTATCTATCACCATGCACAAAACTCAAGTTCAAATGGATCAAAGAACTCAACATAAAGCCAGCCACATTGAACCTTATAGAAAAGAAAGTGGGAAGTACACTTGAACACATTGGCACAAGAGACCACTTCCTAAATATAACCCCAGTAGCATAGACACTGAAAAAAAACAATTAATAAATGGGACCTCCTGAAACTGAAATGCTTCTATAAAACAAAGGACATGGTCAACAAGGCAAAATGACACTGTACAAAACGGGATCTTCACTAACCCCATATCAGACATAGGTCTGATCTCAAAAATATACAAAGAACTTAAGAAATTGGTCATTAAAAGGACAAATAATCCAATAAAAAGTGGAGTACAGACCTAAATAGAGAACTCTTAAGGAAATGTTCAGCATCCTTAGTCATCAGAGAAATGCAAATCAAAACAAGTCTGAGATTTCATCTTACATCTGTAAGAATGGCCAAGATCAAAATCACTGATGACAATTTATGCTGGAAAGGTTGTGGGGTTTAGGGAACACTAGTGCATTGCTGGTGGGAATGCAAGCTGGTTCAGCCCTTTTGGAAGTCAGTGTGGCTATTTCTCAGAAAATTAGGAAACAACTTTCCTCAAGACGCAGTAACACCACTTTTGGGTATATATCCAAAGAATGCTCAATAGTGCCACAAAGACATATGTTCAACTGTGTTTATAGCAGCATTGTTTGTCATAGCCAGAAACTGGAAGCAACCTAAATGCCCTTTGACTGAAGAATTGATAAGGAAAATGTGGTGCATTTACACAATGGAGTACCACACAGCATAAACAAATAATGACATCTTGACTTTTGCAGGCAAATGGATGGAACTAGAAAACATTTTGAGTGTGGTAACCTTGATATAGAAAGACAATTATTACATGTACTCACTCAGAAGTGGTTTTTAAGCATAAAACAAAGAAAATCAGCCCACAAATCACAATCCCAGAGAATCTAGACAACAATGAGGATCCTAAAAGAGACATACATGGGAAGTAGAAAAAGACAAGATCTCCTGATTATATTGGGAGCATGGGGGCCTTGGGAGAGGGTTGAAGGGGATGGGAGAGGCAGGGAAGGGAGCAGAGAAAAATGTAGAGCTCAATAAAAATCAATAAAAATTAAAAGCCTTTTAAAGCCTTTTGATTCATGATCTCTCATGGCATACAGAAATACCTTAGGTAGTAATCTGGAGTATTTCCCAGATTCACCATTTTAGAATGGACTAATCTAGAGCCATACCTGACTGTTCTGAATTCTCAAACATATGATCTGATAATCCATAACATACCCTTCAGTACATAATCTTATGCTGAATGTCCTCTAAAAATTAAAGAAGTGTTTGTATCTATGTGTATGTATGTGTGTATAGGAAAGAAAGATAGAGAGTTTTCTTGGCAAGTCTATCATGAGAGCATAATAATGTCTCCACATAAATATATTTTCAATGAGGATTTAACTTATTGAATGTATCACTTCCATTTATGCGTACCACTGATAAATATTCCAGTGTATTTTATATAACTTTATGGTAAGAGTAGATAATCATTAGCAATTTCCTAAAAGCTTTATTTACTTAGTGTTCTCAACAACCTCATTGTAGAATGGTGTGTGCTTTTATCTGCCATCCATGGTCATTCCCCACTTTGGGTTACCCTAGTAAAGTGTTTTTAAATAAATCTGCTTTCAAATGTTGAAAAGAATTTTAAGGCCTTAGAACACATGTTTTGAAATGCAGTCATTAATTTAAATTTAATTGGTAAAGTTTTCACCAAGATTTGTGGTTGTCAGAAACAATAGAAAGGGGATGGTAAACATAGCTGATGCTCAAAGAGACACAAAGTTCCAATTGTATATGAGGAATGAGTCCCAGAGACCTGTGTGACATTACACTTACAAATGAGCACTTAACATTATTATAAGGTTAGTCGAGTTTTAAACATTCACACCATAAAAAGTGTGTTTTATAAAACTAATTTGAGATTTGAAAATTAGCTAATTCCTTAAAGAAAATATTGTGAGCAAGTCTCTTCTTGGAGGACCTGGTTTTTTTTTTTTTGTTATTGTTGTTGCTGTTGTTTTAGCATGAGGATGGTAACTGAGATGTTAGTTAAGAGATATGATAACCTACCTAGCACCCAACTGGCAGCTAAGGAAGGGAAGAAGCTCTTGTAGCTGAGGATAGTAATAAAAAGCAGCTTGGCTGGAGGAGGGTTCTTCAACATATAACAGTGCTTATAAAGTAGGTCAGGACTGGACATGCATACATTTCTTGTAATGTTCTTATGCTACTTCAGAATGTTCCAGAAAACTGAAATTTCAGTTCTGCTCTTTGACCCAGTCCTGAAGCCCAGAGCCTTGAGAAGTAGGACACATATAAGTGTTCATTCATTCTAAGAACCTATGAGGTGTCTGCTCTGCAGTACTGATATGAACACTTTCGGGTAAGTACATACACTGTATATGCATCACATCTATATGTACAGAAGGAGAGAGAGACAGAGAGAGAGAGAGAGAGAGATTTAAAACTTGAATGCTACATCTTTCTACAGTTTACTGTAGGGCAGTTAAGAAATAATACTATAAGTTTTGCTGGGTACAGTAGTCTGTACCCAGACTGTCATTTGTGGTCTCTTAGAATTGGTAGAACAGCTGCCCAAGCCCTTCTGGGTTTTAGAGTCTCCAATGAGAAGTCAGGTATTAGTCTAAAAGGACTACCTTAACTTTGAATCACAATAGATGGAAAGAATGAGACATTCCATAATAAAACCAAATTTAAGCATTATCTACCTACAAACCTAGTCCTACAGAAGAAAAACTTGAATCTTAAGATGTTAATCACACCTGTGGATGTCAATAGACGTGAATCTGTTCTACCTTAACTAACGATAAGAGGGTTCAGACCTATTCTTGCTCCTTCAAGGTTATACAACAGGATATTTTGCCTAGACAAAAGGCTATGTTGATCTAGGGTGTAGTCAATTGATGTTTTGAGAGGTGAGGAGGTAATTACATTAATTGGTTCTTTGTATCATGGTAAAGAAGTCTTTTGCCTTCCCCCTTTTGGATTGGTGTATTTAAGGGAAATAAACTTGGGTGGATCACAGCATTCATCTTTGTCCTCCTGATTCTATATGTTGTTTCTTGTCTCTTTCTTAATCCTCACCCCTCCCTCCAAGCATGGAAGAGTAAGTTGAGTGGGACACTGAGACACACCCAAGACAAAACAAGAAATAGATAATCCCAAACATTAAATCAAAAGAAAGGAAATGTATGTATGTGCACAAACATCACCACCACCAGCAGCACCACCAGCAGCAGCACCACCACCAGCGCACCACCACCATCACAACAGTAATCTGGCTCAGTGGTTAAGAGCACTGACTGCTCTTCCAAAGGTCCTGAGTTCAATTCCCAGCAACCACATGGTGGTTCACAACCATCTGTAATGAGGTCTGGTGCCCTCTTCTGGCCTGTAGACATACACACAGAAAGAATATTGTATATATAATAAATAAATAAATATAAAAAAAAGAAAAAAAAACAAGATTCATTTATGTCCCCCTGTAGGTACACAGGTCTTTTCCCCCCCTTTTCTTCCTGGCATTCGCAGGGCTGTTTGACCTCTGGCTCCCTGGAGATTCTGCACTAGCACTGGCTTGAGGGTATAGTTTAGAAAGAACTTGGCTCTCTTTTGTTATGGTAATTCCACCTGTAAACAAGGTTCCAGCTGCAGGCCCTATACGCCTGCCACGCCTGCCCCTCCCAGCTGTTTTTGGCCTGAGGCACCGGGTACCTGTAATCTTCTTCTACTGCTCCTGATGGGAGGGGCCGTGCCCTTTTGCCCCCATTGCCCACTAATATAAATACCCGACTTGAGTTTAATAAAGTGACCATTTACTCTTTGGTAAGTG